ACTAGTGGACAGCTAAATATGCCGATGCCCAGATGGTGTACACACCATCTTTTCACCAAACTTCATCCCAATTCGTTTAGCTATTTCAGGTTCATAGTATTATAAATATTTTAACATCCTCATCAACTATCTCGTTAATAACATTATTGTAATAGGGCTCAATACAGGTCCCTGGAGGACACCCTTTTCCACCAAGTAGAGTCTATAAAATTGATTCGGTACCCATTATGTGCTGGTACTAAACCGGTACTGTACTACTTCTGTATACTCCAAGTAACTAAATAACTCATGAATATAAGCAGTCCTTACCTCAACGGATGCTTTAGTGTTATTGCACTAGTTTCTAACTTTCCTGAGTTATATTTAACAGTATTAGAGAACTCTGAAGTGGATATACGTTCCAGAGTAGTTCAGGCTTACGTACGGATTAATATTTTGAGGTATAAACAATATGATTTTAATTTCGATGTAATATAAGAATAGAAATAAATGAGTATTAGACAATATCACATACGTTGCCTTGATCTCAAAATAAGTAACTAAAACACTTCTGTTATGGAAATCGGAAACAACGACGATACCTATCATAAACACTCAGACCCGAGACAATATTCGTGAGGTCCGCTGGTTCGTCCCGTGGCTTAGTTGGCATAGCGCCTGACACGGTTTGCTAGAAGACCTCGGTTCGAATCCAACCCGATCGAAGGAATTTTTTCTAAGTTCGATCTTTGTGTTAATAATTGTAACAAACTTGTGGAGTAATTTCACAAAAAAATAATTGAAAATCATGGTGATGAAACACCCTTGCAATCATTGAAATACTTAATATACAGTTTTTTTTAATACCAAGTATCGGGACGAAGTCGTGCGCCAGGTGGTAAGTGATAGGTACTCAAAGATCTTAGGGGCACTGTGCTGCGCTCATCACTCTAAGACATAAGTTGTCAATTCCTTGTGCCTATAATTTCACTAAAAAATTTCGTTTTTTGCATTGACTCGACGGGGTCGAACCCGGGACGTCAGAGATGGTGACGCCATGAAAACCAGTGTGCAAGCCACTCGACCACGGAGATCGTCAGAAAGAAGCATGCTTAACGGTATCATAGTGTGGTTTTAAAAAAATATTCGTCTGTTTTTAGACTGACATACTTTACGAAGAACCACGATTATAGAACATTGAAAAAGAAATAGTATCTAAGGACTATTTTCTACTTAAAAAGTAATCGAGAGTTATGTCTTAGTGATTAATTTTCGTAAGGTTTCTTTACCACAATATTAGGGTTAGGTACGTGCAGTAAAAATTTTCCCTTTCTTTTAAACACATCGCAACAATCTCAGGCAATAACTACGAAGTTTGGGAAGTAAATAAAAGTAACGGGTTTCTAAACGATAACGTAACAAACGTCAAGAACCTGTATTTATGTTTTAAAGTAAAACAAGAACAACGAGTATCCTCAAGTTTGTATTGGTTTTGTATTAATTATAACTTTACTATGCGTTCTTAGTCAGTAATTTATTTAATACAGAGCAAATAAAAGCACACGTAGACTGAAATATAAATCAAAATGACCCTCAATTGGGCGCTATCATAAAACAAGCCATAAAACGCTAAGGAGGAAAATTTTTCATTCCAAGTTTAATTGACCGTTCCGATTCGCCCCGTTTCACACCTTCCGCATGTGGATTTATGAGCACCCTTCATTGCTTGAAGAGAAAAAAAAAGAAAAAGAATACAGATTTATACATGTTTTTGTAGGCATAAAATACAATGGACCATTGAACCTATATTTTACTTTGTTTGGTAACAAAAGCGCAATCGAAACGTTATGAAGTGGTCGTGCAACAAAACTGCCAGATTACAGATCAAATTTTTCTTGACATTTTATTCATTGTTTTGTAGTTTCGTGATTTCGTGAGATTGTAGAAATTTGCAATGTTAGGCAAATTGCAAATGATTTTAGAGTTTATTATATACAAAGTTGTAGCGATGAGGAATTACTATTACTAATGTCGGTAATACTTTTCGATTTCGGGAAAATAATTATCGTTTTCTTTGGAATTCCAGTAACAGACTTTGCTCTGTAATTTTTTTTTGAATTCTTCGATTATTGAGTGTATGTCTACTCCTTAGAGCATATATACACCGCGTATTTTTGACGCGCAAGCGACGTGCAGATGACGCGCATTAAGTAATAGGTTATTATGATAATTTTTTTTAATCTTTTTTGTTTTGTTTCGATTATTTTTGTAAAGTTCTTTATTAAATGTAAAAATTCGTAATAAGTCCCACCCTTCAAATGAACCCCTGAAGCTGACGAAGCTTACAATTCCATTAAGCAGGCTCTCGTATCCACACTTATATTTGCCTGAATCTTGCCCTGATTTCCCAAAACCATTTACAGTCCATTGTGACTCATCATATGGATTAGAAGCTATATATGCTCACCCATGATTTCGACGGCGTCGAAAAACCTATCGCTTACATGAGCAAATCCCTCACTTTCCTCAATCCAAAACGTATATAAAAGATTTATGTATGTAACTAAAGTAATCATCCAAAAGATAGTCCATCCAAAATATTCCGTCGTTCGAACCACTTCAAAAACCGTTTCATTTTCATAACCGGAATGAAACAGACACAGTGAAAAATCATAAACTTCCATGAATTGAAGCAAAAAGCCAAATTCCGATAAAGTCCATTCTGACTAACTCCAACGATTCGTCTGATTATTATCAGGCGAATCGCTGCGATGTTTCGCAGCTAGCGCTAAAACGAAGCAAAAACTTCCAACCATGTTTCCATTTAAAAAGGAAAATTTGTATGCCACCCGCAATCTGGTTGGTCCACTTTTGAATTCAAGCAGATTTTAATTAACATGGAACACAAAAGAATTTAAAATTTCAAACAGAACCCTCTCACCATGTGATTATATTAAATGGCCATGTGTGTATTGTCTCTAATTTTGTAGACTTTGACATTACGCGTGTTTGAGTATAATGAAGTTGTGTCAGTTTAGAATGAAAAAATATTTCAATATAACGACACCTTTATTAGAAAACATATGTCAGTTTTGTTCTGTTAATTAATAAATATAAGTTATTGCCGAAAACTCAGCTCATGACTTATTGACTTACCGGTCGTTATGAAACAGACTCTGCGACCCTACTTTTGGTGCTATAAGGAGACCGAACGACGCGCCTGGAAATGCCTGGGAAAACTACAGAGCCATGAAAGAGCTTATGAAGAGAAATCTTCCCCTAACAGTTAAAAATATTTGTTGACATGACTATCCTGTCCATCCTTACAAAATGGATGGAATGCAATTTATTAAGCGACACTATGGCGTGAAGTACACAGAGAGCGGGTGCGAGTCGGGACCACCGGCGGATCGAATCCCGTATATTTATATGGACGACGACACACCGAGTGCGCGTGCGGAACGAGCGCGCCCGCTCTCCGTGTGTTGCGCGGTTAAATGCGAATGTCAAACAGAGATGATCCGACGCAGCTAATTTCGTTCCAGTCAGGACGCGAAGCATTTAATATCATTGTAGATCGAATAACATACGCAGAATACTAAACATTTCTAATCTCGATCTTGATGATCTCGATTTTACATCAACTTGAGGTTATGAGATTTTTTAAATTTTTACGAGACGTACGCTATGAAAATCAACTTTTGTATAAGCAAAAAAAAACCTGTTTATTTTGTAAACAAATTGAGAGAGATTTATTCAAATTTATAACAAAAGTTAGAACAAAATATCAAATAAATATATGAAAATGCAATACATACTCCCTGATGTCGACGTATTTTTTTTCCATAATCTTTGTATTTAGTGCTTTTTGATAATGACAGTGTGATCAAAATTGCTCCTCATACTCAGAATTGACGTTGCAATAATTTTTAGCACATTTTGGGTCCAAAAAAGCATGGCAATAATTAAGAGGTAGTTATTATATATTTACGTAACATCTGTTTTTAAAGCCGACTTCAAAAAAAAGCACTTTCTGAATTCAACTGTATTTGTTCGTGTGTATGTTACGCG